ATTTTTTAAAATGAATTGGATAAATTAATAATGGTATAATTTTTTAAAAAAATTTATTTAAATATATATACTAAAAAAAAATATTTTGTAAGATATTTTATTTAAGAGTTAAATGTTTAAAATTATATGAGTTTATATAAAATAAAATTTTGCATCGTTTTCCTGCTCTAACAGAGATTTACTAATAAAATTGTTGATGTACTTCTTCGATTGGACTCGCGCTTAACGAGTCGAAATTTCCGTGGTAATCCATCCTCAACTGTGAAACTTACTTTTTATGTATTTTAGCATTTATACTTTTATTATTCTATTCTTATACCTTTCATAATATATGTTAATTGGTTCTTGATTTACTTAGGAATTGAACAAATTTATGATCTGAAATTGATGCATCACTATACCGATGAGATTTTTCCGCGTATGTGTAACCATATTTCAACATTAAAAGTGCAACATCTTCCGATTTGTGGAGTGGTTGACGCAATGTTTGAAGCTACCAAGCAGGGCATGGTTGAATTCGTCGTTGAGCTATTGAAAGTAAGCCAACCACTCATTTTCCATAATGATGATGGCAGACACGTTTTCATGATAGCAATCCAATATCGCCAAGTAAACATTTTCAAACTCCTACATGGCATTAATGAGGAATGGAAAGCCCATATTCTTAATCAGACGGACAGAAAAGGGAATAATATGTTACATGTGGCAGGGGAGATAGCTCCTCCCTTTCAACTTGCCCGAGTCTCCAGCCCTGCATTGCAGATGCAAAGAGAATTACAATGGTTTAAGGTTTTCATCTTATTTGTCCACTTAATTATAGCATTTTAAAATTATTATTATTAATTATTTTAATTTATTTTTATACGTGAAGTGAACTGTTATTCTCTCAAAAGTTTATATATAAAGTAAGTGTAACTTATTTATTTGTTTTAAAAATAAAACCTAAATTGTTGTTCTAAAAATTAATGTGTACTTTTGTTAACCGAATGCAGGAGGTGGAAAAAATTGTTCCGGAATGGTGCAAAGAAGATAAAAATAGCAATGGTGAAACCCCTTATGAAGTATTTTCAAAGAGCCATAAAGAATTAGTGAAAAAGGGGGAAAAATGGATGAGGGACACAGCAAGTTCTTTTATTGTTGTTGGTACTCTCATTATTACGATCGCGTTTGCTGCAGCCATTACTCTTCCAGGCGGCAATGCTCAAGATGGGTTTCCCAATTTTTTACAGAAAAAATCATTTATGATATTTATAATATTTGATGCGATTTCCTTCTTTGCTGCATCAATTTCAGTCATAATATTTTTGGAAATCCTAGCATCGCGCTTCGTCCCGGAAGATTTTCTCGAGTCCTTACCCAGTTTGTTGGTCATTCTCCTCTGCAGTATTCTTCTTTCTATTGCAGCAATGATGGTTAGCTTTTCTGCTGCTCTTTTGATTATGCTACAACATCAACTGGCGGCAATCATTCCCATAATTGTGATAGCTAGCATGGCAGCTTTATATTTTGAATTGTCGCAGTTTCCCATCGTAGATATTTATTTGTTGAATCATGCTCCGGGATTATCTTTCAACAGAAAAATGGAGCCTTGGCTGTATGGTGGAGAGCAAGTTGGTTGATTTATTTGGAACAAAAGTGAGCAGTTTCCCCTTCAACTTGAAATTCTTTAGCTTGTTCTTTGGTTATATGCATGTTAGTTGGAACTTCTAATTTCCCTGTTCTATTTGGTTGGATTATCAGATTTTTTTGCTTTTAGTTATGAGACTGTGGTCTATGTATCTTCCCATTGTGTAAAAACAATATTAATTAATCATACATGTTATGTTATATTTTCAGATATCTTGTTTTATTAAATATATGTATGATTGATGGTTTCACTATGAAAAAAATCGGAGGTCATTTAAGATGGGTTTAATGTCAAATAAAATCATTAGACAATAAAAAAAATAGGTAAAAAAATATTTAAAATCTTTTGTCATATCAAAAATAAAATTCAATTCTTTAAAAATATATATGGGTTTTTTAATTAATTTTACTGTCATGAAATGTTAATTTTCTTGTAATAAATTATTAGTTTTTCTTTTCATTAACATCATTAAAAAATTGGAATTATACAATAGGGACCTAACTGTCGTACTCCAAACTTTTACCTAAATTGTTGTCTCATTGTTGCACCCAAAAATTAGTTATAAACTCAATTCTGCCGGAAGGGCTAAAATGTTATTATCGGGTTAAGTCCAGCTCAGTTATAGAAATCAAATCCTCCTTATTTAAAACTTAAAAGATTAAAATTCCAATTTAATACCTGTATCTTGATAAAAGGTTCTTTTTTTAATTTTTAAAGTTTACCTTTTCGGCTCTTTTTACCCTCTTAGTCACTTAAATGATGATAGGGCACTGTTATTTATTAAGTATATAATTTTTTTTTACTTCCTTCATTTTAAAATAATTATTTTTATTTTAAATTTTTTTATAAATTAATTTTTATTTTTTTATTTTTTAAAATAAATAAATATTTTTTTACTTTAACTTTATCATTATTTATTTACTTTAATTAGTTATCTAATTATAATTTTTTATTTTTTAAATATATTATAAATAAATATAAATATTATCCTTAAAACTTTAATTTTAAAAAATTATTATTATTATTTTCAGATTAAGAGATTGTAATTTTTTTTTGAACAAATTTGTAAAGGTTTAAATTCAAATCGTTACCCTAAAAAAAGAAGAATGCACTTATATATGACTTGACACCACTGACCGAAGCCCAAGTATGATAAAGAGATTGGAATTTGTTACTGTTGACATGGAAATTAAAATGGTCACATGTCACACACTAAACGCTGAAGGAGCAAATTTAAAGAAAAAACAATTATAACATAATAAAATTACAAAATATGCTTAAAAACAATTGTAACATGATAGAACAAAAAGCAAAAGACTTTCTTCCTCTTCTTCTTTTTTAATTTTTTTATAATTAAATAAAAAATATTTTTCTTTTTCCTCCTTGCCCTTCCCCCCAAGCATACTAACCCATTAAGCACTTAATTTTAATTTCATTTTATTTTTGTTATTTGCGAACCTTAGTAGGAGAGTACACTTGGTGCTTGAGGTCTAATGGCATTAGCTACCGGCGTATTCCCCATCCGGACAGGGTTCGAAACCCACCTCTTGCAAAAAAAACTTAGTAGGAGAGTTTCTATGTCTTCACTCTCCCAAAAATGTTGGTTACGCACGCGCCACCCCGCTGGATAAAACCTCTTGTATTGGATGGCATTCTTTCTTCGTTATCTCCACGCATTGTGTCTCACCGACAAACTCCGGCAATCAAACTTCTCAACTCCCACTATTGCCGGAACTCGTGCCGTACAATTGCTATGGCAGCACCCAAAGTCGATTCATCGGGCGAGTCATTGCCGGAACACGCCGCCGGGAAGTGGTACTCAGTTCCAGATCTCCGTCTCTGAGATCACCGTTTCACTGCTCCTCTGAATTACAGAGATCCCACTATTTCCTTAAAGATCTCCATTTTTGCTCGGGAAGCCGTTGCTGGTACGGACCACCCCTTGCGATCAACTTAAAGTTGAATTATTTCTGTTAAATCACTGTTTGATGTTGAAATATCGCGGGAAATGTCGAAGTAGAATTGCTAAAGTCAACCTAGCTTTATTTTTCCTTTTTCCAGGACATGTCAGGTTTTTCATTTTCCTAGTCCTTCGAAGTTGGAAATAATTGGATTCTGAAGTGTACTTGGATACTGAATTGTCTATTCCGTTAATGCAGTTAGTATTTTTCCCAAAAAAAAAAAAAAAAAACCATATGAGTCTACTAAAGAGGAATCTGAATTGATGATTTTCAGCATATGAAAATTAATTGTAGGGTGGTGGTATATGTGCCGATTAATGTAGAATTGTTTTGCAGTTGGTAAAGAAGATCAACCACTGCCATACCTCCTGTTTCTGCAAGGTGGACCGGGTTTTGAATCCCCGAGACCAACTGAAGGCAGTGGATGGATACTTAAAGCTTGTGAGGAGTTTCGTGTTATATTAATGGATCAGGTATGGTTTCCTTGAAGCTTTTTTGATGAAATGGGGTACTTGTGCTCGTTGTTATTGAGGGTTGGTGATGTGTTTCTTCTTGCAGAGAGGAACAGGATTATCAATTCCGCTGACAACATCATCTATGCTGCAATTTACTTCTGCCCGGGATTTGGCTGATCACTTGAAACATTTTCGTGCTGACAGTATAGTCAATGCTGCTGAGTTTATCCGCGTTCGACTTGTTCCTGGTTCAGGACCTTGGACAGTTTTGGGCCAGGTATTAAAATTACTGTTCAATTTTGACATTTTTGTTTGTGCATTTCACCATTTCATATGACTATGAGGAGCGTCTAGTGATGATCAATTAATCAGTATGCATGCTGTGAGTTTATGACTTTTTGTGTTTTTACTCTTTTGTCACTCTTTCTGGCAGAGCTATGGAGGTTTTTGTGCAGTCACCTATTTGAGTTTTGCACCACAAGGATTGAAACAAGTGCTTCTGACTGGAGGAATACCTCCAATTGGAGATGGATGCACTGCAGATACTGTTTATGGAGCTTGCTTTGAGCAGGTTGCTCGTCAGAATGAAAAATACTACAAGAGGTATCCTCAGGATATTGAAGTTGTTCGTGAAGTTGTAAACTATTTGGCAGAATCTGAAGGGGGTGGGGTGAGGCTTGTCTGCCTTTGATCCTGGTTCTTTACTCAAAGCTGATATTTTAGCTAAATCTTTTTAATGTAAACTCCTTTTTGTGCAGGTTCCTCTTTCATCTGGGGCCATCTTGACCCCAAGGGGGCTGCAACTTCTTGGTCTTTCCGGTTTAGGATCTAGTCCAGGTTTTGAACGCCTTCATTATCTGTAAGCATCATAATTATGCACCTTTTTTTTTTCTTCTGAAAGCTCAGATTTTGGTGTTATGTCACTGCATCTGCATCTTTTTGTAATCTCTTAAAAACAACTGTAGGTTTTAGAGGGTCTGGGATCCTGCAATAGTCCCAGGAGCACCTAAGAAGATTAGTTTCTACTTCTTGAATGCTATAAGGTACCTTTTAGTTTCTTATTTATATTTTGGAAGTTCAAGTCACATTCTCGGAATTAATCTTGATTCATTTTGTTTGAACAGTTTGACAATTGATTGGGTTTTGATTCAAACCCACTCTATGCTCTTATCCACGAGTCAATTTACTGTCAGGTAGATTTTGCTGTTTATTCTATTCCATGCTTGATTAGCGACATTTTGCTGCGTACGTTACCCTTAAAAAGGAAGGGAAAAAATCAGTATGTGGTTGAGCAGGTTTTACCATGGCCAAATCCAAACAATACCATTAGGACTCTTATCTCAGTTGCAATATTCCACTCACATGCATATATGATTTGATTTTTGCGTTATTTGTTGTTTCTTAATTCTATAAAGGGTGCTTCATCTCGGTGGTCTGCTCAACGATTGAGGGCTAAACATGAGAACAAATTTGATGCAATCAAGGCTGAAGGTGAAGGACGCCCTGTACTTTGTACAGGGGAGGTAAGACCATTGTGTTTTATTGATTGCAAGTTTGCAACTGCAACATTTACATGCAAGCATCAGAGTCTGTTTGACATAGATCTCTGAGAAAGCCACTAGCCTTCTGAACAAACCTTCTGCAGTAGCACCACGACAAGTGCCTGAGTGTCTAAGAGTAAATATACAACCAAGTGATGAACTGGTTATGGCAGCCAATGCCATACCACTCAGTGACATGGTGAGTTTTTCCCATTTCTGTGATGATCCTTCAAAAACATCAAAGGAGAAGCTGTGGTGAAATCAATAAAACATTCAAGAAGCTTTCAAAAAAATGAAAGAATTAAGAAGACTAGAAAAAAAAAAAAAAAGGATTAACTACTTTCCCATTTTCCATTATACTTTAACTGAGTCTTGATTAATTAATGCAGGCCCAGAGTAACAGGAGTGGTGAGTGCACAGAGCAAAATGAGAAAGAAAAAGCTAGAAACTGGGACGTTATAAAACGAAATGAAGCTAGCAGAACAATGAGAAATACCCAAATAGAACTTGGCCTTACAGTAAATTGAGGTTACCTGCAAACTCAAGTGCTTGACCTTATTGAAACAGTTTTGGGTATTAAACAAATGGAACTTTCATTAAATTTAGGCTTTTTTACACTTCTGACATTGTTTAAATTTTCTTAATGAAACAATTTATATTCTTGATAAATAAATCACCGTACAATTTTAAATCATGATTCAGTTATTTGAAAATTTTAGCTAAAGAAAACAGTTGCAGAAGTACATAGATGCAGAAGCAAGCTGGAAAATCACAGCCATTAAAGCATGATTTTAAGTAGTAAGCGTAACATCATACCAGGACAAATCATGAAAGAAACCACACACGGGTAAATTAAACAAACTTAACCTTAAAGAAATTGTTAAAGGACTTTATCCTAACTTTTAAATTTCAAATTTTAGTTGGTTCCTTCCTTTTAACCCTTTTAGTTTACTCATTCCATTGACTTTATGTTAATTAAAGCTGCTTAATATAGTTTTCATTTTAGGTTTTGAGTTTTTATTATATATATAGTAATTATTACTACATTCAAAAATCACAATTTCTCATAAAAATTTGAATTTATTAAATTTAATTTAAATATAATATTAGTTATTAAATATATAAAAAAATCAAAATTAAAAATCAAAATAATACAAAA